AGTAGCTGGGACTACAGGTGGGTGTCACCACACCTGGCTTTTTTTTTTTTTTTTTAATATGGGGTCTCACTATGTTGCCCAAACTGGTGGTCGTGAGCTCCTGGGCTCAAGTGATCCTCCCACCTCAGTCTCCCAAAGCACTGAGATTGTAGGTGTGAGCCACCACACCCAGCCTCCCAGTCTTTTAGTACCTCTCCCAAATATGAATGAACAAAAAAATGAATCTCAAAAAAGAACACAGGCCGGGCGCGGTAGCTCACACCTATAATCCCAACACTTTGGGAGGCCAAGGTGGATGGATCACTTGAGGTTGGGAGTTTGAGACGAGCCTAACCAACATGGAGAAAACCCTTCTCTACTAAAAATACAAAAATTAGCCAGGCATAGTGGCACATGCCTGTAATCCCAGCTACTTGGGAGGCTAAGGCAGGAGAATTGCTTGAACCCAGGAGGCAAAAGTTGTGGTGAGCCAAGATCACGCCATTGCACTCCATCCTGGGCAACAAGAATGAAACTCCGTCTCAAAAAAAAGACTGCAAATGATAAGCAACACAGAATACATATTTAAAGAAAGGCTTTGAAAAGAAAAATAAGACCAAAATAAACTAAGAAAAAAATTTATTAAAGAACAAAGAGATGCAAGGGAGAAGACAAAAGAGTATCAAAATCACTTCATAAAGACACTTGTGAATGTATTAGATGAATAAAACAAAATAGAATATGAATAAGGAATAATCAGAGAAGAAAAAGTTCTTAGAACTCAGGGTTCATCTTGGGAGTTGATCCCCAATGAGCCACACCTCCTGTCACCATGTCCTTGAACAGGCCCATCCCACAGTGAATCTGGGTTGGCCCCAAGACTCACTTTAACCTAGAGAATTTGGTAGAAATGACACTGGACCTGCTCCAGGTCTAAGCCTTCAGAACACCTGGCAGCTCCGCTTCTGTGCTTCTGGAAGCCAAAAATAACAATTGGCTATCCTCTTGGAGAAAGACAAGCCACATGAAGAGGCCCGAGAGGATGAGACGCTATGCAGAGAGGAAGGCCACATGAAGAAACACCAAGACAGCAGACCTGTGGGTGAAGAAGCCATCTCAGACACTCCACTGCAGCTGAGCATCCAGATGACCAGTCCCTGACACCATCTAACTGCACAGTGAGAGATGCCAAATGAGACCAGCAGAAAAACTGTCCAGTTAGCCCCAGTTAACCCATACGGTAGTGACAGATAGACAAATGTGCAGTTTTATGCCACTAAGTGTTGGGAAAATTGGTTAAGCAACGATTAATAACCAAAACAAAACTTAAAGTTATGGTTGTGCAAAGAAAATTTCCTGAAAGTTCAAAGATAAGAAAAATATTCCAGAACTTAAAATGTAAAAAAAAAATTAGAAATAACGTGAGATACAAGACTCAAGACAAGAGGACTAAAATCCAATTAATGGACACTTCAAAATGAACAAATAAAATGGAAAAGAGAAAGTTAACAAAAAGATGAAAAGATTCAAGATTCCAACTTTGAAAGAGCCTATCCAAGCACAGACATAGATTTTTTTAAACTGTATACTAAAGGGGTCAGATTACACAATATTTTATGCCTTACTTTTTAATTTAATATATCTTAGAAGTTTGCACATGCTCTTATGGAAAGACTGCCTGCGTTTTTTTGGTCTACAACAGAATATTCTATTATAAAACTACACTATAATTTTTATTTAACCAACTCTTTATTGGTGGACATCAAGAATGGAGGAATGTTTCAACAAGGGAACAATCAACAGTATCAAAATACTACAGAGGGGTCAATTTGGGGACTAAGAGGGGAGCCACTGGATTTGGCAACTAGGAGATAAATTTTAGCGCAACGATGAAGGCAGAATCCAGATTATAATAAGCTCAGTGAAAAAATGGTGAAGACATGTAGCTTATTCTCTCAAGAAACTAGGCTATGATAAACTGGCAGAGGCTGTAAGAGTAGGAGGTGAGTTGTTTTCTCCTTCACGTAAATATATTTACTTTTTTAAACACTAGGCCCAATTGTATATCCTACTTCATTTAACTTTATGAACATGTTTATATATGTATCTATGTATGTATGTTATGTTATGTTTTAGACACTGAAAAATAACTCATTTCTGCTATTATAAAACTGTTATCTTTAGATGTTCAGAAGCAACTTCCTAAAAGGAGGTAGCAGTACTGGAGCTATGTCTATCATTCTTTCCCATCAACCCCCTTGCTGGAGATGTAAACATGTGTCCATCAAGTCTTTAATTTTTACCTCTTATCTTCATGGCTCTCCACACAAACCTTAACTCTTTTTTTTTTTTTTTTTTTGTATTTGTATATGTATATCCAGAGAGAGAGAGAGAGAGACAGAGAGAGACAGAGAGAGACAGAGAGAGAAAGAGAGACTTACTATGTTGCCCAGGCTGATCTCAAACGCCTGGGCTCAAGCAATCCTCCCACCTCGGCCTCGCAAAGTGCTGGGATTACAGATGTGAACCACTTTGCCCAGCCTCAGCCTTAACTCTTAAAATATCTTAAAACTGATGTTCTTCTGTTCTTATTTTTAAGAATAGATGCGTTTAAACCAACTATAACTTATTTTGACAAAAATTAGAGTTAAGACTCAAAATTCCTCAAAGGGTCAGTTCTCCTAAATCTACTTTTTTTTTTTTTTTTTTTTTTTGAGACGCAGTTTCACTCTTTGTTGCCCAAGCTGGAGTGCAATGGCATGATCTCGGCTCACTGCAACCTCCGCCTCCTGGGTTCAAGCAATTCTCCTGTCTCAGCTTCCCAAGTAGCTAGGATTACAGGCACCCCCCACCACACCCAGATAATTTTTGTATTTTTAGTAGAGACGAGGTTTCACCATGTTGGCCAGGCTGGTCTCGAACTCCTGACCTCAGGTGATCCGCCCGCCTCGGCCTCCCTAAGTGCTGGGATTACAGGCGTGAGCCACAGTGCCAGGCCAGAATAATCTATTTTTTCCCTATTTAGTTAAAATATCACCTTTTCCTTATACTAAATTCTCGTTTGCATGACTCTGATTCTAAACTTTCATTGCCTTTATCTGTCTGGCCCTGGGCTAGTCCACAATATTTTATTTAATAGCTGGTTGAACAAGTCTACTCTTTATTATTTTTAATTATTTACTCTTCTAAACAAACTTTAGAGTCATTTTGTCAAGTTCCAAAAATAAATCTGCTGGGACTTGTACTGAAATTTGCATGTGTGTGTATATATATATATACACACACACACACACAAAATTTATATATATAAATATATATAAAATATAAAATGTATATATACATATATATATATATATTTTTTTTTTTTTTTTGAGACAGGGTCTCACTCTGTCACCTAGGCTGGAGTTCCGAGGCATGATCTCAGCTCACTGCAACCTCTGCCTCCCAGGTTCAAGTGATCCTCCCACCTCAGCCTCCTGAGCAGTTGGAACTGTAAGTGTGTGCCATGGACGCCCAGCTAATTGTTGTCTACCCACCTCAGCTTTACTGTGCCCAGCAGAAATTATATTTATAAATTACTATGAAGACATGGTGATAATTATAATATGAAATCTGCTCATCCAGGAACATAGAATGCAAATCTTTCATTCAACTCAGCAAAATTTTGTCATGTCCTTTATAAAAGTCCTGCACATCTAAGTTTATTCCTAGGTATTTAATTTTTGCTTACAATACTTGAAAAAATACTTTATCACTATATATATATATATTTTTTATTTATTTTTTTGAGACGGAGTCTCACTCTGTTGCCCAGGCTAGAGTGCAGTGGCGCGATATCAGTTCACTATAAGTTCCACCTCCCAGGTTCATGCCATTCTCCTGCCTCAGCCTCCCAAGTAGCTGGGACTACAGGCACCCGCCAGCATGCACAGCTAATTTTTTGTATTCTTTTTTTTTTTTTTTTTTGTAGAGACGGGGTTTCACCATGTTAGCCAGGATGGTCTCAATCTCCTGACCTCGTGATCTGCCCACCTCAGCCTCCCAAAGTGCTGGGATTACAGGCATGAGCCACCGTGCCCGGCCTACCACTATATATTCTATGTGATTATGGTTAATATTGGGGAAGGCTATTGATATTTCTATAACAGAGCTTTTAACCAGTAATCTTAAAAATTGTTTTTCTCAGTTGGTTCCTTTGGATATTTTTAGGTAAACAATCATGTCAACTGAAAACAATGATTGTTATTTCTCTATAAAGACTATGACATCATGGGAAAATACAATAAATGCTTTTTAAAAGAATATAAAACTATAGAGATTATGATCTCAACTATTTAAACATATGTATAAGGGTTATGTATTTTACTAGCAAAAATATATATATATATAGGTGGAAAATAGCCATCATGTCAACAGTGGCTATATTAGGTAGAGAAATTATGGGATACTTTAATTTGTTTTCTTTTTTCTTTTCTGTATTTTACTAATTTTCTCAACAATGGTTACTTACGAGTTTTATAATAAAAAAACTTTAAAATTTTTGCAACATAGAAAGTTATACTTCTTTATATACTAAAAACAAAAATAAAACTTTCTATTTGGATACCTTTGACTTTTACTGCAGACTTACAGACCTGTGAAAGAAAAGACAATTCCTTCCCACTAGCTCTGGTGTCATTTTCCCCATCTCTTCCTTCACTTCTACCTTGGTCTTTTTTCTACTTCCCACTTTGGCTAGTGGTCTCTACTCAAAATGCTTGCTTGGCTTAATGGTTAGAATTCAGGGAAAAAGAATTCCCGAATTCCTAATCTAAACTAAGGTTATACATGTGGGAAATAATAAATACTACCTTATTTACCAGGTAGCACATAAGATTTGGAGGACTTAAAATACCCAGACTTTAATTCCTCTAAGATTATAGTTACTAATCATGCTTTTATATAATATTATCACTTAACATTTAATTTCTAAATATCATGTTCATGAGGAAAAGAGAAAATAGCTTGGCTTCTTTCCTCACCAAATTGTTGTTCTTAGTATCTTCTAGACGTTCCAGAACTGACATCAGATTTGGCTCATCAGAGTCCACAAACCATATCGGTGAAGAAGATGAACAGGATTCCTGTTTAACACAGAGACACCTGTGTTAAACATTTACATACAGACTAACCCAAATATGCAATTAAACCACACCATTAAATGGCAAGATGACCATGGATGTAAACAAAACGTATGTGGGAAAAAGGCAACACAGGTAAACCCACGTGAGGAGCTGGACTTCTGAGACAGCCATTCTTTACATAGCACTGTCTGCTGCTACAGCTCATAGACGTCAACAATTTTCTTCAACACTGGCAGGCAGCCTCTAAATGGCCCTGATCACCCTCACCTCCTGCCATTCACACCCTTGTAAAATTCCCACTCCTGGACCTAGTGACTCACTTCTAACAAAGAGAATACATCAAAAGTAATAACATCACTTCTGAGGTGAGGCTACAAGGAGACTACGATGCCTGCTTTGGTCACCCTTCTCCTGCTCTCTCCATTGCTCCCTCTGATGGAAGCCAGTTGCCATGTGATGAGGTGCCCTATGGAGAGGCCCACATGGCAAGGTATTGTAAAAGGCCTCCGACCAATGGCCATCTAGAAACGGAGGCCCAGTCCAACAGCCTGAGATGAATCCTGCCAACATCTACACGAGTGAGCTTGGAGACGGATTCTCTCCCTATCCTGCCTCATGATGATCACTGCCGCCACCAACACCTTCACTGCCTAGTAAGAGGCCAAGCCAGTGAACCCAAGGTAAACTGCACAGAATCCTGACCCACAGAAACTGTGAGATAATGTTTGTTGTTTTAAGCTGCTAAATTTGTTACAGAGCAATAGACAACTAATTCAAACACCATAAAATTCTAACATTTTATTCTATCACACAAACCAAGTAATACCAAGAAAAGCCATTACTATACATATATTTTCAGAACACATTTACATGTGATTTTTAAAAAAGTGAATGGACTAAGCATTATGTGCTTTCACCCACTAACATTTACTCTGTTACTTTGTACTGTTTTCTATTACAAATTGAGGAGGATCCATTATTATATATTAGCTTCAGAAGAACCAGGATCAAGTCATGGAAAACAATTTCACACAAACAACTTTAGGAAACACTGCTTTGAAAACTGTAATCTGAAATACAGCTGAAGCCACAGAAACCAAATATTTACCAAAGGTTCTTTTAAATTTTTTTAAAGCTGGCTGGGCATGGTGGCTCATGCCTGTAATGCTGGCTTTTTGGGAGGCCGAGGTGGGTGGATCATGGGGTCAGGAAATTGAGACCATCCTGGCCAACATGATGAAACCCTGTCTCTAATAAAATAAAAACAGTTAGCCAGGCATGGTGGAGGGTGCTTGTAGTCCCATCTACTTAGGAGGCTGAGATAGGGGTATCACCTGAACCTGGGAGGCGGAGGTTGCAGTTAGCTAAGATCATGCCACTGTACTCCAGCCTGGTGACAGAGCAAGGCTCTGTCTTAAAAAAAAAAAAAAAGAAAGAAAAAAAAAAAAGAAAAAGAAAAAGAAAAAGAAAAACAAGTTGTATTGAAGGAGGACATCATTAACAGTGTATCTCTTCAATAATGGTTTATTATACTATTCTCATTCTTTTCATTCCTCTCTTACAGTGTCCCAAATCTCTTTACAGGCTAAAAGAAACTCTTCAGAATTAATCCTATTCTTAAAGAACACCAGTTACTGAGTATTGCATTTTCTTCTTCAAATTCTTCAGCATACATTGAGAATACACCATATGGACCATTTTTACGTTTTCAGTTTGGTTTTTTTTTTTTTTTTTTGGCTAAAGAAACTGCAACTAGATTTAGGACCTGCTTCTATTAGGTTAGTATTTGTCTAGAAAACTTCAACATAAGCAAAATAAAATATGTGTTGTTGCTCTGGACTGAAACCTCTCAAAACCATATTTTTAAAATTACAAAAAAAAATTAACTGAAATCAAGTTTTTAAAAACCTTGTAGATGAAAAGATATGATACATAGTACATTTAAGTACCTATTTCAATGGTTCCCAAAGTGCGGCCCTCAAACCCTCAGGTCCAAACTATTTTGACAGGAATACTAATATGGTGACATTTGCTGTAAGTGTGTAAATACAATGGTGGGTAAAAATGCTGGTACTTTAGCACAAACAAAGGCAGTAACACCAAACTACTAGTAGACATGGTATTCTTCCCTATGCACGGGAAAGGTTTAAAAAGGAAGGGTGGGCTGGGCATGGTGGCTCACACCTATAATTCCAGCAGTTTGGAAGGCCAAGGCAGTCATATCACCTGAGGTCAAGAGTTTGAGACCAGCCTGGCCAACATGGTGAAACCCCTTCTCTACAAAAAATACAAAAATTAGCTGGACATGGTGGTTGCATGCCTGTAGTCCAAGCTAATTGGAAAGCTGAGGCAGGAGGATTGATTGAGCCTAGAAGGTTGAGGCTACAGTGAGCTGTGATCATGCTACTGTACTTCAGCCTGGGTGACAGAACAAGGCCCTATCTCAAAAATAAAAAGAATGTCTATGATGAAGCAGTGAAAATTTTACATCTTAATCCTTGAATATATCTTTTTAATATTTCAAGTGAGGAAATGGGAAGTATACATGAGCATTCCTACAGACTGCCTGAGAAAAAACCCTCATGTGACTAAGTCATGAAGTGAATTAACCACTTTAATGGAATATCATTTTTACTTCAAAGGATGACTGACAAAAAATGTTATTTCAACTTGGGTTTTGGGAGACATTTTCTCAAAAAATGAGATTCTGTCATTTCAAGAAAAACAACAGACAGGCCATAATAAAATTCAAAAATAAAACTGGTAATAATAAAATTCAAGGTTTTGACCAAAAAATTAGAATTTTAGAAAACTTATATCCACCATCGCTTTCCAAAAGTATTCTGAGGTTGATGGTGATATTGATGAATGTATTTTGATACTGTATAATCAAATGTATCAACATATAGAAGATCTCAGTGAACCATTATTTTCAAAATGACCAGTGCATGATGTTATAATATCACGCCAGGGTAAAAAAAGATCCAAAGTTCAAGAAAAAACAGGTTTTGATAGAGTATCAAAAAAGAAGCCAAGACAACATGGCAAAACCCTGTCTCTACAAAAAATTAGCCAGGTGTAGTGGTACACACCTGTAGTCCCAACTACTCTGGAGGCTGAGGTGGGAGGATCACCTGAGTCCCCGGAGACTGAGGCTGCAGTGAGCCATGATCACACCACTGCATTCCAGGCTGGGTGACAGGGCAAGACCCCATCTCGAAAAAAAAAGAAATATCCACAATGATCTAAAATGGCTAGCTGTATGAGATTGGCCTTTGTTCACATTTTTTCAAGCAAATATCACACAACAAATTGAAGCAGACACAAATGACATACCAAACATCAAAGAAATTTTCAAAAAATATACTGCTGTGGGCTTAGAAATTTTTTTCATAAAAGCATTTTTAATATATGGTGAGCTTTTAAAGAATAAATATTCCTGATTTAATTTCTAGTGATAAATACCAATTGATATACCCTACATACACCAAAGCTCCTTGGGCCCTCAATATATTTTTAAGAGTATAAAGGAATCCTGACCCCAAAACTTTGAGAACTGCTGCCTTCCCTTCCACTTTCCTTGCTTCCCTAGAATTTCTTTCTTGGAAGAAACATTCCTTTGCCATTCTATATTAACTTACATAGTTCCATTGAGGCCAGTTTTGCTACCTCCATCCCATCTTCCCACCTCTGTCTCAACACAAAACCTGACCAAAGGACTCTATCAGCCCACCCCATTTCCAGTGATGAGCTGTCAGGTGAGCTAAGCCAAGCAAATCTGGGTTTTCCCTGAGACTAGACCTCTCTTTCTGGGAGATCTGGAATCACAGGGACAAGGCTGGCCACCTTGGGGTAGTCAGAATTCATCCTGCCTAAACAGGGGGAGTTCAGGCAAGTTTCTAGAAAGCCAAACTACTTTCTAGAAAGTCAAAGATAATTATACTTTCTGCCATGACTGTGAGAATGCCCATTTCATTGCACACTTTCTAACATTTTTACCAATCTGATAAATAAAAGCTGGTACCAAGAAGAAAAAAAGTCCAGGTATGGTGGCTCATGCCTGTAATCCCAGCACTTCGGGAGGCCGAGGCGGGCAGATCACCTGAGGTCAGGAGTTCGAGACCTGCCTGGACAACATGGTGAAATCCGGTCTCTACTAAAAATATAAAAATTAGCCAGGAATGGTGGCAGGTGCCTGTAATCCCAGCTACTTGAGAGGCTGAGGCAGGAGAATTGCTTGAGCCTGGAGATGGAGGTTGCAGTGAGCCAAGTTCACGCCATTGCACTCCAGCCTAGATGACAAGAGCAAGGCTTCATCTCAGAAAAAGAGTTTCCATACAATATAATTTGTTCCATCTCTAGAAAGCAATTCAGTAATGAGAACTGAAAGCCACCACTTGGAAGGTTTTAAGGATTTAGCTCTACCTATTGATGTCTAAAACATTAGTTAAGACAGAAAAACACACATATACACACAAACACACACACACACACACACACCGCTATATATTCAGTACCAAGAAACATGACTGACTTGATGGTACAAGTCATCCAACACAAAGCACACAGTAACTGAAGGCACTGTAGAGGAGTAACTTCTGACACGGATCTACAATATTGTTGAGTGAGAAAGCAGATTACAAAAACAAATCTGATTTTGTAAGGGAGAGGAAACACATACAAACGTAGGCGAAAAGAGATAAGCAGAGGACTGGAAAGATACAAAATTCTGATAGTGGTACATTCTGAGTGGTAGAATTATCAGTAATATTTTCTAGTTTTGCCTAAAAATTTTCCAAATTTCTTAAAATAAGAAGTTTTTGTTATCCATATTATAAACTATCCATCACCCCAGGAAACTTCACCTTGAGCACAAACTCTACAACATGTTCAAAGTTTGTTCAGCTAAATATTTAAGAGACAATCTACTTTGAAAGACATCTAAAGTGATGACCAATATTTAAATCTATGCATTAACATTTTTCAATCATAGGCTTTAA